ACTGGTTTCGAAAAGAGCATTTTTGCAACATCTTCTCTCTCTGCAACAGAAATACCTTGGTCTAGAAGAGCCAGCGGAATTAAAGTTTCATCAAGGTACCATAAATGTGATTCCATTGAAACCATTGTAGCATCAATTCCATTTAAAATTGTTTCAGAATTCTGAACATATTGTTCTACGTAACCTCTATATTTTGTCATTTGCCAAAAGGCTTTTATATCTTGGTAAGGCGCAGCGTAAGGTAAAGAGGTTTTTAAAAACCAGACGGTATAAAAGATTGAGATAAACTCAGCCGTAGACTGCACTTTGTTCTTTTGATTATCTGTCAATTCATAAGAAAGTTGCAAACTCAATATCTGAATCTTGAGATAATAAATAGCTTTGGACATAAAACGTGCATGAGACACGCACCCTGGAGCTTGATTTTGAAAATCTCTTTCAGGGCATAAGTACATTAGAGTCAGTTTCAATAACTCCTTGAATTCTCCTCTGGGAAAAGTGATTTTTTTTAGAGCAATCTCGCAATATTTTATAGCATCGAGTCTATGGATTTCTAAGAAAGTGGTAGCAATAGATTGGGTATCATATTTTACAAACTTTGAAGAGTCAATGCTACTTTTAATGTCATTCCAGTTTAATTGGAACCGTTTAAACATTAGGTTTTCTGGAGATTTAGTTTTTCCACTGCACTGTTTTTCACAGAAGTGTTTTAGATGTAACTCATAAACATGCCTCCTGCAAGCCAGCTCTAGTAGAATTGAGTTTTGTTCATGACTAAACCTGACATTTGTATCAGAAAGTCTTCCTGTATTTGTAGCAGTTGTATCAAAACATAAACCTTTCACGTCATCACATATTCCATACTCATCCAGTATTTTAACTAAAGCATCGTATTGAGCTTGTCCAGTACCACGATCAATTGCTGGAATGCCAAGGAGCTTCATTTTACCATCAATATTTACCGAGACCACAAATCAACCTCTTTTTGAAATTATACCTTCTGTAATGTCTTCGATAATTTTTCCATCAAAATGTGCTATTATGGAAAAAGAAGATTTAGCGGAAGCAATTTTTACATTTTTCTTGTTCAGCATTTTGCCGAATAAATTTTTTTTGAGCTCGCCAAATAGTTGAATGAGACACTGAAAAATCAGCCACATTTCCGCCTGAACTTACGATTAAATCCGTACATACATGCACTAGATCTCTTGATGAAACATTTTTTGAGACTGATGTCATGGCAATATCTTTAACAAAACCTTTCCTTAACTCTTGTTTTGCGTTACTTGGGCCGGGTTGCGATAAATCAAAGGAAATATCTGATTCTGTACTCACGTCACTGATATCTGAGAAAAGCTCTAGATCTGTAGTCGATTCGTCTATTTGGTGTAACTGTTTAATATTACAACTTTTTAAAGGCTTCTTATCTTTATTTACCGTTTTATATCTCATGTCTTTGCTCCCCAAAGTCATTAGACGACTGGACTTTTGGTCTTTTAAAAATTTGATATCAACATAGTATGAAAGTTTATCAAGGCTCGTTTTTTTTAAGATTTCCTTAATATTATCTTTACCAATCCAAAATGCCTGCTCCCCCTTGTTTTTGAATTCTTCCCTAGATTTCTCTGCTGCTTTAGAGTCCTTATTCTTACTTTTCTTTAATGTCTCCCAACTATCGATTAAACGAGTAATATTATTCCTGAAAAAATTACGATAATACATTAAATAAAATAGAAATATTAACTTTAAGATGCACCTTATATTTTGTATTATTAAGCTATAATCCACACGTAATAACAACTAAAAAAAATTAGTTGTAGTGGTACTACAAAAAAACCTTAATCATCTACTAGCTTATTAAGTTCAAATGGTTATACAAATTTATAATAACTATTTTATTATAAATTGAAATTATAAAACTTACCTTATAGATTTATCCGTTAATAATCCATCTTTATAACCTCCGTCTAACCATGGTTTTTTTACTGCAAAAAATAATACAGTTGTCAGGACAATTGACAAGTCCGGAGCACTTTGCGAATTTATCGGGCCCATCAGTACAACCAATAAACTTTTTGGATGGAGTTAACTTGTTACTAGATCTTTTAAACTGAAAGTTAAGAATTAATTCTTTATTTGTTGCAAAAGTTATCTGAGTTAAGTTTTCTATCAGGCTTTCTTCTTCAAATAAATAAGCTCTAGCTTTTAGTCTCGTAATTTTAGCCATTTTGAATATTATTTAAAAAAATATTAGAGCACTTATTATTAGTAACGCAAATTTAGTTAAAATACTTTGTCTTCGTATTGGAAAGTAGTTGTTAAATTTTAAACTATTAATCAAGTACCTTGGTATATACATTTTCTAAAAATATTTTCCGATCAAATTTGATTTTAAATTTATTGCGCTCTAATGTTTATTAAGTAGGGGCCATTAAGGTTAGTGTCCGGGGCATGCTACTCCATGGATCCAATTATTATTTTTTTTTTTAGACTTAATTTAACACTAATAAAAAAACTATTCAAATTATAGTTTTTTCCGTGTTTGGAAACAGTTTATTAGGAAAAAAAAAAGTTTTTTATACGACAGCGAGTAATAAAATAGGTTTTTGTGAAAGAAAATTTGGATTTTTCACCAATTTCAAAATATTCTGTAGACTAATTTCTTAATTTTTTCGACTTGCTCCTTTTATGTGATAAACATTCAATCCAACATATAACATTTAAAAAAAAAATTTAGATAAATTTTAAGGTCCCCGCAAGGCGTTTAAAACACCCGACAATTTTGGCCCAAAATCGAACTGGCGGGGACCCTAAAAAATAATTTTTTTTTTTTTTTTTTTGCTCAAACTTATTTTTATACAAATAGTCAATTTATAAATCGATTCGCGAGTTCGATTTCAAAAATTGAAAAAATATGAAACACCCTAATATATATATATATATATATATATATATATATATATATATATATATATATATATATATATATATATATATATATATATATATATATATATATATATATATATATATATATATATATATAAAAGCTGAACTAAAAAAAAAATTTAGTTACTTAGTTGACACAATACTAGATAAAAATAAATAAACTTCATAGGTCGTAGCAGACTTGTTAGTCCGTGGCCTTGACCTTGCCTTAAGGCCAAATATTGAGGCCTTGGCTTTGAAACTGTTTGCCATGGTCTAAGCTATGAAAATTTTGTTCTAGGCCTTAATTGTTTGGCCTTAGCCATAAAAAAAATAAATATTTTTTTATTGATTTCGTTGAATTCTGCATATAACCTTGGTCTATTTTTACAAAATGTGGTTTTATTGTCACAAAACTTGCTACTTACAGCTTTGTTAATAATTGGCCTAACGTGAGGAAAAAATTGAAGTGTTTGGTCTTGTAAATATTTTTATAGGTCTTGGCCTTGAAACTCTTAATCTTGGCCTTGACCTTGAAACTTTTGGCCTTGTCTTTGTTCTTGGCCTTATAACGTGTGGCGTTAGCTTTGCCCTTGTTAACAACTCTGGGTTATAAACGCGTTATTGATCAACGGGCTAAAAAAAGTAGAGTTTAAAACAAAGATTGTTACAAAATAACCGTAAAAACGTAAACTCTCGGAAAATACATATAAGCCTTTCGAAAAACCAAACGATGAATTATTGTATATTAATATTAACTCAAATCATCCACCCCAAATTCTAAAACAAATCCTGACTTCAATTAATAACAGGCTTAACCAAAACTCCTCTAATAAAAATGTATTTAATTCCTCCAAACAGATATTTGAAGATGCCCTTAAAAAAAGTGGTTTTGAAAACTTTGAATTAAAATTTGACCCTGAAAAAAAGAATACAAAAAAGCGAAATAGAACTGGAAATGTTATTTGGTTCAAACATATATAGCAAAAATGTTTCCACAAACATAGGAAAAGTGTTTTTAAAATTGATCGATAAGCATTTCCCGCCCGCTAATAAATTACATAAAATTTTTAATCGAAATACTATTAAAGTTAGCTACAGTCAGTGCCGTGCCTAGAGCCCCCCAAACCCCCCGGTTGGGGGGGGGGGTGTGTGAATTTAAAGGGGCCCTTCTATGCAGTATGCAAATTTTATTTTTGAGATGATGACTAAATTAAAATTATGATATAAGTGGTTTTTTTTTAATATAATGTTAAAACCTATTAGCGTTTTCTAATTTTTTTAAATTCGCTTAACCTAACGAAAATGATATTGTATTTGCTGAGTTAATGGACGTTTTAAATTAGTTAAACTTGTGTTTAGAATGTTTCGCTTTTTTTTATGCTAAACCTATTGAGAAATATGCTATTGTATTGCTAAGTTAATCTATACTTAGTTTTAGTTAAACTTTTGTATACAAAACTCCAAATTATTATTTGATTCACATTTTTCAAACTCTAGTTTTTCACGGGTTTTTTAATGTTATTTAGTAGCAAGGATTTATTTGTATTTAGATACAAGGATTTTAATTGTATTGTATTTGTAGAAACGATTCCAGTTGTCTACATAAAAACACTTTTAAGTAAGCAGAAATTAATTTGTTTATATAGTTTGTAAATAATATATAAGTTGTAAATAATATAATAGTTTTATCAGCAATGGATGATACTTTTTGCTTTTTCATTACTAGATTATAACATTAATAAGAATATATTTTTTACATAATATTTAAATGGATTTCTTAATACACATTCTTTTCCAATAACATAAGAATTTATTATAAAAATTTTGTAAAAAAAATGTAAAATTATCTGTTGTTAACATTGTGTTAAGTATTTAAAAATACTTGTGCATAATTTGCACGCGCATACAAGTGTGCATGCAAAGTGCATACAAAAAAAATCTTTTTTTCTTTTTAAACCCAAATCTTATTTATAATAATATATAGTTTTTATAGATTGTATACATTTAAAATATTGTATTACAGTCTAATACTATGAATAAAAATCATGTAAATCTATTTTTCATTTTAGACAATGAAGCCTTCAAAGTCAGGTGCAACTAAAAGAAAAGAGGCAGCAGCAACAAAAGATGCAATTAGCAAACTTCCCAAAGTTACATCATTCTTTACACCTATTCCAAGTAATTGCACCAGCAATGAAAAAAATTGCTCTAATGAAGTGGTCATTCATGAACAGTTAGATATTGCGAATAATCAACCTAACACAATAGAAAAGTTGTACACTCTACCATTGCCACCGTTTAGTTCCGTTGCTTGTGACCCAGCCAGCTGGCCTGAACAAATTTCTGATGCTCAACGATGTGATCTAGTCAAACGTGGTCCTCAACAGGTTGATATTGACTTTCCATACAATATTGCTGCAAGGCGTCGATTTTCAACGGTTCATTACAAGCGTGTGATGAATAATGGAGAAACTGTGCCTCGCTCATGGCTTGTGTATTCGGTAAAATCTGACAAGATTTTTTGTTTTTGCTGTAAACTTTTTGAAACAAATGAAAGACCGTTTCGTAGTGGTACTAGTACATGGGAGGGACTATCAAAGAAGTTAAAAGACCATGAAACAGGAACATCCCATCAAAAGTGTTTTAGACAATGGATGCAGCTTAAAGAGGGTATCAATAATGATTCATCTATAGATAAACAAAAAATGCAGCTTTTTCTTAAAGAAAGGCAATTTTGGAGGGATGTCCTGGAGTGTCTTATTGACATTATAAAGTTCCTGTCAGAAAGAAATTTAGCATTTAGAGGTTCCGAAGAAGTACTTGGCTCACCACACAATGGAAGCTTTTTGGGTCTGTATGGAAACTTTTTGGGTCTATTAGCAAAAAGAGATCCTGTACTGAACGAGCTACAGAAAAGAATTGAAAAAAAACAAACACATGATCATTACCTCAGCAACAAAATCCAGAATGAGTTAATTCAACTTATTCCAAAAGAAGTAGAAAAAGAAAACGTGAAAAAACTAATGATATCTAAGTATTATGCGATAATTCTGGATTGTACTCCAGATGTTTCTAACCAAGAACAGTTAACAGTCATTTTGCGTTTTGTTGAGTGTGATACAGGTAATGAAGTCACAATAAAGGAATCTTTTTTTGGATACTTTCAAGTTAGTGACAGCTCAGGAAAATGGCTTTTTGACACATTTTTAAAGCGAGCAAAGGAGTTAAAACTGAATATGTTAGACTGTCGGGGCCAGTCGTATGATAATGGTTCTAATATGAAAGGGAAGAATTCTGGTGTTCAGTTATCAATTCTACAAACAAATCCGAAAGCTCTGTATGTGCCTTGTGCTAATCGCTGCTTGAATTTAGTTGTGGTTGACAGTGCCAAGTCGTCAACTAGGGCTTTATCATTCTTTGGTGTTCTGTCCAGATTGTACACCATATTTTCATCATCCACACAGCGCTGGAGCATTTTGAATGAACATGTGGAGATTCCTGTTAAAAATCAATCGGACACTCGATGGGAAAGTCAAACTAACTGTATTAAACCTCTGCGGTATTATTTTGGAAATGTTTTGATTGCACTGGAAAAACTGGAGGAGTATGCAATAGAAAAAAAAGATGGAAAAACAGCTACGGAGGCTCGGTCATTGATAACATATATTTCAGACTGGGCATTTCTTTTGTCTATTGTCATCTGGTATGAGATTTTATTCCAAGTAAATAAAACAAGCAAGCTCATTCAATCCTTTGGTATTTCTCTAGATGTTATGGAAAATGAAATCAGAGCAGCTGAGGCATTTTTAGAGAAGTATCGAGAAAATGGATTCTCAAGTGCTGAGACCACAGCCCGTGAAATTGCAGAAGAACTAAATATTCCAAGAAATTTTCCATCAATTCGCAACAATAGGAAGAAAAAATTGTTTGATTATGAAGGAGACGACGAAAGCGGTAGTCAAACGCCCCAATCACAGTTCAAAACTGACTTTTTTTTTGTGCTTGTGGACCAAGCTTTACAATCTGTACGGGAGCGTTTCCAACAAACACATGATGTGGCTGCTGTATTTTTATTTCTGTTCAATCAGAAAAGTCTTTTTTCTGATTGAACAAGCATACAAAGACAACACCCTTTTGCTGAAGTGCCAGAAATTTTACAATAAAATGGGTGATATAGATCCGTTTGAAATGGAGATGGAATTAAAGCGATTTATTCATCTAGTTTTAGAAAACGATGAAAAGCTAAAAACTGCAATACATTTTCTGAATTATATCAACAGCAAATGTCTCCAGGAGGTGTATCCTAATGTCGCTATCGCACTCCAAAACCCACTTTTTTTGGGGGGGGCCCACCAGCTGTCTGGCACGGCACTGCTTGAAAGATATGCTGGTATTATTAGCACAATGGGTAAGCATTGAATTGCTACTTGATTTATAGTTGAACTAAAAAATACATCAAATTCAGTTATAAAAATTTGAGTAACAAAGGTATGCTAATTATTGTATTGTCTAAAAGAGTGTCATTGCCATTAAAAGCAGTGAAGAATTCAAGTACTCTGGAAGAAAAAAGACAAGAAAACACTTAAATAATTGGTAAATATTTTTTTATGATCTGTTTATGCATGTTGTATGATATCTTAGTTCAATTTATATACTTTAAATAAAATACTCTTTGAAGATTTTATTAGATTGTAAATGACATTTTATATTAATTTACGTTTAAACAAAAGTTACTTTAACTATTGCCAGGTTGTGTATTTTTGCAGGTTAATTATTTGCCACAAATTGGAGTTAAAGACGAAGGAGATTATATATGTTATTTACTAAGAATAGTTTCTTAAAATAGCCTAGCTGTAAAATTAAACTATGCAGGGAGAGGACAAAAAATTGGAATAGGAAAAATATTGATTGCATATGTTGCTATTGGTAAGTGGTTTAAAAAAGTTTATTTTTTTCAGTTTCAATTTTGCATTACTAAATTACTTTCAATTTGTTATTTTTCTTTGGTGCATAATTAAACAAACAGCTATTTTTTTTTTGCAGAAACTGTGAAGTCAAATAAGCATGGCTTATGCAGACATGTGATAGAGATAGTGGAAGAAAAAATAATAATCGTGGGCACCAAATATCATAAGCTAAACACGATTCAATAACAAGTAGCTCAGCCAATATCGAAACTATTCTATAAATTTTATAGTGAATTTTTTTATTTAAAACTCAATGTGTCAGTTTTTAGTTCAAGTTTGGTGTTTGCAATATGTATAATTAACTGAGAAATTATGTTAAATAAATAAGTTTTTATACTTTTATCATACATTCTTTTTTTTCTCTATAATTTTTCAATGTAGCGATACAAACCATCTTATTTGTAACAACGATCTAATGTTGCATAAAACGTTAGACCGATATATAACATACGATATTGGGCCAATCTTGTATACAACGTTAGGCCAATTTTGTATACAACGTTGGGTCAATGTTGTTTACAATATTGGCCTAACGTTTTATACAACGTTGTGCCAATGTTGGGTAAACGTTGTATACAACATTGGGCCAATGTTGTACACAACGTTGGGCTAATACCTAACCAATGATCAAACCTGCATTAGGCCAACATCGAATTTCAACGTTGGGCCAATGCGTCATCATGCATTGGCCCAACGTTGGTCCAATGTAAGCTTGCTGTCTGGGTAATTTATATAATAATTAACTTTTGTATAATTCAGTAACAATAATCGTATTAACTTTAATCTAGTTTAATTTATGCAGTTATTAGTAAAATAATTCGTTTTATATTCATTCAAGTCACTCGTTTTATATTCAGTTTATACTAAAATTACTAAATACGTTTTTGTACAATTATTTTTTTTAGTATTTAGTTTATATTTAGTTTAAACCAGTACTGTTTACTGCAAATATTTTTTATATAATAAATTTATACTTAAGTTATACGGTTTAGTAACGTTGTTCATTATTTTCTTAGTTTATATTTATTTTTTACTTTATACGTTTTATTGAGATTGTTTATTCTACTAGTTAAAACTAATTTTAAACTTTTTATGATTTTGCTCAATCGATTTGCTTTAAATTGTTTTAAGTTTAAAAACGTTCTTAGTTTGGACAAGATTATAAATTTAAAAAGCTAGAACTTTACAAAGTTTTTAGCCCCTTAAAGTTTCCTAAAAAAACATGTTTTTTCACTTAAAGTTATAATGTTTCCAACTTAATAAGTAAAAGTAAACAAAAAAGTTATGTAAAGATAGGAGCATTTCTATTTCATTGAGGAATAATCTTTTGTCTAAATGTCTTTTTTAAAATAATTTTAACTCCAAGCAAAGTTCTCACTTAAAAACAACATTTAAGAACTTGAGATTTCACGTCTGAAAATTAGAAAATTCTATAATATACTGCAAATATATATTATTAAATTATATAACATATTATAATGATAGACATGATATTTTAAATAAATCTTAAAATATTGCTTGTACTTTACAGTGAGATACTTGGTATTTTCCCTTTAAACAATAGAATCGTTGATCTTGCAGACCTGATATTTTACTGAAATATCTTGTTTGTTTAAAATGATAACTGGTTAACGGCAATTGAGAAGCACCTTGACTAGAATGAGTAGATTTTGTTTATATTTAAATATAAATGCGGAGTGATATAAACGGAGTGGTGCAGCACTTGGTCATATATTTAATTAAATTAAATTTACATTTTTTAACAGTAATATTTGCTTACATTTAATTTAACATATACGTCACGATTAGCACGGATCCTGATACTTATACGGGGTAATAGCTCACACACCAAGTTACCCTGTGATGCAATTTTTTTTCTAATGCAAAATCTTTAATTTTTGTCCGCGGAAAATAATTTATATTTGAAATTTAAATGATTAAAAAAACTAGTTCAAATGTAGCATATGGCCACACCAAACTCTGGATAAATTTTCAGTCGGATTGGTTTAATGATTAAGGATTTATGTCAGTTTTAGTTTATATTTTGTTAGTTTTTTGCTACTTAGACATCAAAACGTTACCATTACTGTGAATTTCGATCACTATTTTACACAAAATAAAGGTTACATAAGTGTTCTACTAAGCCGTATAAACAATTTATTTTATAGTTATTTTGTTGCTACATGTACCATATTCATTCTGGTTCTAAAGTATAAACTTCTGCCAAAATGCAAAAAAAAGGTGCAAACCTGGCAAAAGGACTATCAGTTGTTAAAACAAAAAACCTTTTACCAACTGATAGTCGTTTCTGTTTAAAGAATTTTTATTGGCCCTTGAAACCTTTTTAAATGCATTAACTTTCAAAATGAAGTGAAAAATAACTATATAAACCCAATTTTTTAGTTATACTACCATCAAATAGCATCTCATTAAATTGTAAGACATGGTCTTTAATTTTCTCCACAAGAAGTTAATTTAAAATGGCTTTAATCTTCTTTTAGTCAAATACTTTTAAATATTTTTACATGCAATATTAAATTTCATAATTACTAATAGCAGTTAAGGATTAAAATGGTGAAAATGTTGATTGTAAACCGTAAGCTATTGTTTTTTTTATTGCCTAATCTAGTAAATCGAACTATTGTAGCAGTTTTTTAAATATGCTTACTGTTCAAATCAGTATATGCAGCATAACAATTTCTTTTTGTAGTCTGGATGATGATTGTTTTTTCATACTTAGGCCACTTTATAGCTACTATCCAATCAGCTTTAAGTATCTTGAAAAAAACATTGTCAGACTCACAGATGACTGGCTTTCGAATAACATTGCCAAACAACTTTGCACAAGTAACAACCACGCTAGGTAGCTGAAAAGACTCGAGGCAAAATTTGATTGAATGCAAGTGTTCACAAATGTTCATATTTTGCAAGACAGTTGGATTTGACGTCACACCATGTACAAGGGTGCAAACCTGAATGGGTTTGAAGACCACAATTGATATTTGCAACTATTATTTTCATTTCGCAAATCAAAATTATTTTAATTCCGTTTGCATTAATAATTGATCAGATTTGTTAAATCTTGAAGTGAATTTCTAGCAAATCTCGTGATACCACAACAAGATTTTGTCTCCTTACTCTGGTGTCTTTGCCAGTCACTTAAGTGAGAGGTTGTTTTTGAGGTGGTGAGCTGGTATCAATCCTTAACGCAGTATCAACAATGCTTGGATAAAACTTAAGAAAATCATTACCACCATCAATTTTGAGCTTAACTAAATATCCATCAGAAATTTTGCAAGATGTAATAACATGATTTCCAAAAATTGATAAATCATTCAGTGAGCAACAACATGAATTCTACCAAAATCTCTTTTTCCGTCGGTAATTTTTATGTAACTGCGGTTGAAGAAATTACTCAAGTGTTGACTTGCTTTTAAGAAATTCTTATAAATATTTGGTTCTACCATCTTGCTGCTTGATTTTGGTTTACAGTTTTAACTAGTTTCTTTAATCCGTATTTTGATAGTCCCGTATTTAACTATACATTTACTAGAGCTAGAGTGGTCAATTTTGGAGCGCTTGATATTGGCTGGGTACTACTTTGATCTGAAACCAAAACATGCATGTTTTATCTTTATATTAAACTTTGTTCAGAATGTTTTTAAAGTGATTCGAAACTTGTTAAAAACATACTTCCCAAAATCTTGTCTCTTTTTTCAAATTTTTTTTTGAATATATATGTAAAAATTATTTAAGTATGAATATTTACTTGGGGTAATTGTAGGTGGAGGCCCGCCAGATGCATTAGCAAGTCAAATAGTTCCTTCAAGATGTTGGTAGGGCAAATATTTTTCTAAAAGGCAGAGGCATGTGCTGCAACATACATTTGGTTTTTTCTCAATTGTGGTTTGCTCTTCAAAATGCTTTTTATGTAACTTTGAACAATCAATTTGGCAAATTAGGCAATAACACATTGCGCTTTTTGTTTCACGTCTCATTTGTATTGAATTGAAATTAATCAAAGGAATTAATAAAGTTTCTTTTCCCTCTTTTTTCCTGCGCAAATTTGTTCTACACGATTTGCAGAGTTCTTGTGGTACCCGAGAATCACTAATACTGATCTTTGTCTTGTACAGTTGGCATATTTGATATGCTTGAAATGCAGTCTTAAACATTTTTGTAAGCAACATTGAAAGCTGTCTCTTTTTCAGACAGAGCAACTACACAAATTTTTGATTTTTATTGTGAACCTTTGTTTGATTTGGCATTGTGGCAATTAACTTAGTCCAACTTTACTGAATCAAACTATCCCTTTAACAAAATTTAACCTAATTTTATATTGGATATTAATCTATTAACATACCTACAAATGTTATTAATTGTAAACAATTAAAATTAAGAAAGTAATTACTTAAATTACAAGAAAATAATTCTTAAAAGATTTTTTCTTTAAAAAAAATAATTATTAAAATTAATGACACTTGTCATACTTATTGACAGTTTAGAAGATATTTTATAAGATGACACATTCACCCAAAAGATTTTTACTGCTCTTCAGAGGACAAGAATAGTCTTTCAAAGTGTAGTAAAAATTCTTTTTTAGTCAATGAAGTATAACTTATATCTTAGACTTAGTCTATGTAATGTATGTAAACTATAAGATATGAGTCAAAAAACCTTTTAAAAGATTTTCCTTTGACTCTGCCCTCAAAACTTTGTTAATAGTTTTAGTTATTTAATAATTTTGTTAATAATTTTATCTTATTTAAATTTTTATATTTTTTTATGTAGGTATCTTTATAAAAGCATTTCAACATTTTAAAAATATTTTCATGTAAAAAGTCATGTATTTTGACAGTAGTTTATACCTAAGAAAATTCTGATATTTTTACGCAATGCACAATCCAACTCAAACCACGCTTTAAATATCAATATTTTGGTTTATAAAACGAAAATGGTTGTTAAAGTAATAAAACAATTACAACAATTGTAAAAGTTATTGCAATTGGTATTACATTGTAGAGCACTCATGTAACCATTATTTTAAAAATAGTGACCGAATATCGCAGTAAATGGTAACTTTTTGAGGTATAAGTAGCAAAAAGCTAACAAAATATTAACTAAAACTGC